GTTTAACTCCTCGTTTCACTCAACTGAGGCCCGACCTAAACGCTCTGGTCAGTACGACGCACCATCTTTTAGGATCAGCAAAAGATCGTAAGATCATATAAAAATGTTCTTTCTCCATTTGCGACACTTGTAGGGAAGAAACCACCGTGTCGCTCTAGCAAAAGCAGGACACTGTAAAAAGGTTAATCTAGCGCTTTTAACAGAAATAACTTTCTTGCACACAGCCGATATCGTGTTCGATTTCTGTCACATCGTGAGCAAACGCTTGGAGGCTGTCGGGTACCTTGTGCGTATGTCACTATTTGATTTGCGTAGCTTTGTTCATGTTTCAAAATGGAATATGACACCTAGTGAATAGTCAGATAATTCGTCCTAATTTTCACAATGCTCACTGAGGATACGGTGCGTATCTTCAAAACGTAAGTTTCGCCAATAAAAGCTCAAGTGCGAGTTCTTGCCAAAGAGATTTTTCAATTTGATTGTGCCTGTAATGTGAGGAGAGGATGCCATTAATTGATCATTAAGCCTCAAGGTCGATCGGATAATTTATCGGGTATTAGAAATACTCCGGTGACCGGACGAGCCGATAGTCTGGATTGACTATGATATTGTCTTGCTTGGCGAAGGCGGCATACTTACAAACCCATAACCCCTCCATTTATCAGTTTTAGAGAACGCGTCGTACTAACGGCTAACACCTGCAAGATAAAGTTCCTCAGAACCATCAATAGGTAATCATCCGCTTAGGAAATAGCCACCGGTGTCCAATTTGGATATGTGACGCCTAAACGGAGTATGCAGCTCAGTGATTAGAAACGCTTGTGTTGCATCTGATGTCTCATCTCAACGACGACGATTTCGATTACATTGTCAAAATAAATGACGTCGAGCTCCGAGCTCTAACGTGATATGTATTTCTAGCCCTTGGGATTGGAATCGCACTTCAGTCTGTGAGGCCGCGGCCTCTGACTACGATTTTCGAGCAAGTTTTTCCCCAAGTTCGTATTCAGTAGATAAAAAAACACGCAAAACTATACTGTTTTATGAGCTATCTCATACGGAAGACGTATTTTCAAAACATGTGTATGCAGTGTTGATTGACGCACTGTCTTCAACAACGAAGACTTGTGAGACGTTTTAAGCACTTGTTCATGTTCGATGTTCTGTATGTGCCTGTTCCGTGTACTCGATAATCCCCGCGTCCGGTGGTTTCGGTGTGTAAGCGCAATTCAAAGATTTCGATTTGGATGCACGGAACAGGATATTCGACAGAATAGCTGATAAACACAGCCGCCTGTCCAGTATATTTAATCAATCAGTCTAGTACCGGAACCAAATGGTAGATTTGCTGCCTGCGAAACTTTCAATTGTGGTACAACCTTTGCCAAGCCACATAGTAAGTTAGCAGACTTTTCTGGTTTCAAGAAAAAATGAGATTCAGTCACCGAGATCTCATTCAGCTGGCGGATCCAATCAGCGATGACTGTTGATTGGTTTGTGTGACTAAGTCATGGAAAATTTTGGATCGTTTTGGGAGGTTGTCCTTCAGGTTCTGAGAAATTACCTTAGGTGGAGATATTACTTGGGTACCCTTGGCATTTTTCTCGCTCTTGGCGGATTATTTGATCAGGGTATTCTTGTCGGACAGGCTTCGTACTTTAGATCCAGGCGTTTCTGAACTGTTTCTGATTCACTGGGGCTTTGCTTGTGGCTATGACTTCACTGGAGTAAGGAAGCCTTCTTGGAAGCACTGTTGAGTATCGTAGTCTGAATGAACCTGAAATCGGAAGCATTCCCTCTCCGGAGCTACCTCACTCCAGCTGGCGTCTTTACGCTCAATCATCTCGGTAAAGATGATCCGGCTTCGTAGGTGCTTTGTATGGCGGCTTCCCGTACCTGAAACTATCTGGACGCTTGCCTTTGACAACCTAATTCCTATCCTCATTGCCAACTGGACTTCTGGTTGGTTACTGTCGTCGCGTACTACCTCTTTGTCACAAATTCAATCGATTAATTTCCTTATTTGGTCTGGATTCTTTGGAGATTTTGTTTATTTTAATGTTAACCAATTAGTTCCTCCGGTAGTCGCCGTCTTTAGCCATAAATCATCGAACTTGTTTGTCGTGTCTGGAGCACATAGTATACGACACACACATGCGCATTGTGGGACCGATAGACAGTATGTGTGTGAGTCATCTTTCTACTTGATGGCTACGGGCAAGAAACCGTGCCTACCTGTGCGACAAGTGATGTCTCTGCAACTCGCCGTGGTTGTCTGACTGATGCTCATGTTTGACCCCTTATGGTCACTACTTTTTGTTGTCTGACGTAATGCTCCAACCCTAGTTCCTCATGTCTTGTATGTCTGGTTCGGATTCCCAAGTTGAATTGCGTGCGTCACCGCCGGGCAGCTACGACCTGATGCAAATGCAACACGATATAACGCAACGGAATTTCAACTAGTAAACGTCGAGTACATAGTCTTTGTGTGAATTGCCGAACTGCCCTTGAATAGTACAAAGCTTTGTGATACTTTGTGATACAACCGGGCTGGTTTCAGCCCACACTTTTCGACTGCCCCCCTTAGGTCCACCTGTGAAACCCAATAAGGTTGAATGAACCTGTGTAGCAGAGCTCCCTAAGGCTTTCTGAGTTCAGAAAAACAGCTATTACGGTGCTTCGTGCTGTTGAAATGTGTGACCCAAAACCAGCCAATACGGCACTGGGTCTCATAACACTTCAGCTCTACATGCAGAAATGGAATTTTTCCGAAGTTAAAATGCCTGACACAAGTTAGGGCTATACCACAGTGTAATACTGATTGCTGTTTCACTTATCGAAAGCGACGCTCCTTCGACTGCTAAAAAGGCATGAACCACTAGACCCTAACAGGGCATTCGAACCACGTGCTCGAAAAACTCTGTGCGTGACTTGTCTAATTTTTGGTGTTCGACCGAGTACTCGGGGCAGGTTGCTTAATCGATGTAACATTGCTACCCAGGGGAGCCTACCAATTATTTTTAGGGTTATGGGGTCCATTGCCCTGCACTGACATAAGAATGGGGGTTTCCAGATGAGGATGAGCAAAAACCACTGCAGGTCGTTTGTTATAATTCGATCACTTAGTTGTCCATTGCGTGGATAGGATTATTTTCGATACAGACTGACTAATCTATTCTTGGTTTACATGTCATTTCATGGACTACGACCGGACCGTAGCCGGCGCTCGTAAGCGACCTAAATGGTAGATTCCATTTTTAATTTTCAGCCATTTCGACAGAAGTACGCTGTAACGTCATCAAGCTCCTAAGCAGAGTAGGGTGCTACCGCTGAGAACATACCAAAATCACGTTCTTCAGAGCCTTCTCTGAGCCGCGCTGTTGTGATATCTTTCCGTGCAGCTTAGCTTGACACCGGCCACTGAAGGAAAACGCATAAACGGGTTATCTTGTTGATCTGTAAAAAAAAACTGGATAATATCACAGGACAACACCAGGAGTGATTGACCTTCTAGTTCAGTGAATTTGGTATTGTATTTGGCCTCTTCAAACGGGAGGAAACTGTCATGGAACAAACAGATAAAGAACGTATTCGTTCGCTTGGTTGTAATTCGTCTGCATGGCTGCTCTTTATTTTGAATTTGCACTTCAGTGAAGCATCATTATCAACACTGATGTTGCTGTGTTTGATGATGATGATGATGTCTAGTTCCTCCTTGAGCCATCAGGCACGTCTAGTCTGATTCGGTTCAGATTTTTAATCGTGGTTATCAGCTGAATTATTCTTCATCATACTATAATGTAACTTTTTGTATGTATGTTTAGGTGTCCTTCAATGTTAATTCCATGGGATGCATATTCCCTGTCGATAATAGTTGCGCCCTACTACTAATCTTACTCTGGAGTCCACTGTTCCATTGAATCGATTGTTTCAATGGGATTGTTGACACCCAAACCAGCAATATGTGTGGCAAAATTGCGGTTTTCAATATAGGATGCCGTATTAGCAACAAACTTTTCAATCTACGTAACCGGACTGTTCTCTTCATGGATGCAAGTACTCTTTCTCCTTTTGGAATTATCCACACTTGTCGGAGTTATGCGCAAGATTGTGAGCATCGAATTACCATCCAACAGTAGGCTGGAGACAAGCTGATACGTAAGTACTTGTTGTCAGATTCACTGGCACTGTGCTATCTATAGCTTTCCGTACAGAGTTTATTAGTATCGATTTGTAAGAATAGAAAATCAATCAAGTATTTCAGCCAGTCTGTTTTCGTCAGTACACTGCTTATTCGGATTGATCGTGAGTAGGACACCGCATGCGGTTGCTTTATGAGTAACGAAGACGTTTCGCTATGCTTCAGTATTATATAAGTGAAGAAATCCTGTTCTGGTCTGGAGTGTTTTTCGGAAGAAAACCTTGTATGTTTGTTCCATATCCCAATTGAAGTGCACTCTTATAGTTCGCGCTGAACAAATGCTGTTCGCTGCATTTACTTGCGAGCGTTTGACATACCTTGGTGGTTTAATGCATCTCCATCACCTATTTCATTATGTGCTAAAGTCTATGGAGGTTTGCGATTTCACAACCTTCAAAAGCATGATTAGCACATAGCAGGTCTTTTGTGCACGCAATTTGTTCGGTCTCCTGCAGGTTATTGATTAAAGCACTTACCTCATCTAAACACGTGAATTGTTAGCACATGATCGCATCCCTTGATCGAAATGCCCACACCCTTCGTAGCAACATTCCGAGCTAATTTAGGGATTAGTTTAAAAAGCGATGAAGGTTAACTGATTGATTCATAGTAGAATGCACCTAAGTAGGCATTTGTGAGATTTCGGGTTTGGCACCTCGTACACACAAATATTTGGGAGTTTATACTATCTACCTGTTTTTGATAGTTGTGTGACCTCTTTTTTACCTCTTCGAACAACGAATCACACTTGCTTATACCGTAATGACGACCATTCACATCCTGACTTCAAATCCAACAGGTGTCCTTATGTGGGAAGTCTTCACTTGTTGTGCGGAGATTCCCTACCAGGGGAAGAACAACAATGAAGTATACCAACACATAATTGCTGGTGGTCGGTTACAAAAACCAGCTGTCTGTCCTCAGAACATCTACGTACTCATGCTCGAGTGCTGGCAACACGTAAGTTTTGTACCATTTGATCCGCTTGTGTGGTGTATGTAGAGATTGTTTATCTTGCTTGCCCCAAATCGGTGTAACAAACGTCGTTCAGGTGCTCCAAAATTACCCTACCAAATGCATTCTACTTCTATATATGAAGGGTCATTTTGAAAGTGGCCAGGCGGCCGTTTTCTTTCAGACTGCTACCATCGTACTCGTTCCTTCAATATGACTGGTTTCCAAATTCCTCACGTTTATTTCGGCATGTCGGCTCACGTGGTGCCCCAAATTTGGCTCCACACATTGTTGATCGGCAAATCTGATTCGGATGCTGGACGTTACTATCCGGCGCCAGCATTCACCTCTGGTTGCGTGAATTGTTGCCCAAAGAGCAGTTTTACTGCGGTTTCTCTATGATAAGGTTTTCTGCAGAGGGAGTTTTGTTGCAGGCAAGGGTTGCTTGACTTTAAGGTCATTGTCACTCGCTCCATCTCTCTCGAGTTATCAACCTCATAGTTCATGCCATCCATCTCGTTTGGATACCACATGCTCTCCTCTACAGATCCCTTGTGCCTCGTCAAATGACAATCTTGTTCATGAAATCTGAAAGCGGTTCAACGAGCTATCCGATGATTTAACACTAGCCAACATTTCACATTATAGCACGGCTTGCCTTATCAATCTAGTGTCACCGTACGCGTGTTGCCCGGTCATCATACACAGTCCACCACCTATTGCCTCGCGTTATCTCTCTGAAAACCTATGGTATTTCACAACGGTTACCAGGAATGAACAATACCTTGACGGTTTACTGTCAATCTGATACGACATTTCCCAGTAAGCTGCATGTGCATTTCGTCTGCTGTGTAGACCATTCGAATTCGAGGCTTTCAAGCTAGACCCATTGGATTTGCCGTCCGCAGTTTGAGTGTCTCAACCATGTACGGAGAACACGCATATTTGCCACGGCGGTGCAGTGGCGCTGTGTCTGATTTTCTAACTTGTTTCTAGTCCACTCGTAGTCTGACTGGTAGAGCAGTACTGGATGTTATCATTTAAAGCTGTAAATTCGGAGCTGAAGCGTATTCAAGCTCCCAGAAACTTTGAAATCTGTCACTGTGTCCATTTTCTGTTATTTCTGAGCACTTCTTTCGCTCTGTTTCTCACGGACAGCTTGACGGTCTTTAAGACAATTATCGTCGTTCCACCATTGTTTCGCATTTTTATCCACTATTCGATCTTGTTGCCTTTCAGTTAGTTGGTTTATTATTCGACTAATCCTGTTGAATCTACTTTAATTTTTGGAAACCTGTAGCCATTAAGCTACCAACCCATTGTTTTCACGCACAGCCACTGGACACGGTCACCCTTAACGACTTACCATTCTTCCCCAACAGGATCCCGGAAGAAGACCGTCCTTCGAGTACATCTGCCAGAAAATTGGCGGATACTTAGACCAGAATTTGGAGAATTGAATTCCACCTACAGCCGGTTTCTGCTTTTCTTATGACACAGATCAACATTAGCTCGTGTGATATCCCTATCAAGCCACTCAGGTAGGGTTTGGTCCGGTGCCAACAACTCTGGCCAATTTCGAATTTCGCTACTGACCTCGACATCGCGCCTCCACTCCTGTGTCACATGGTCCTCAAGCAAACGAGGCTGCTTAATTTCGTTCTCTAATATCATCTCTCGAGCAGTTCAGTTTGACTTGCCCAACTGTTCCATTCTGGGTTCATTCCTCCTTGCCATTGCTGTTGCTTTTCTACCAGTGGATTTCATCGCTTTTTTTTACCAGCAGTCTACCTTTCGAGTCCAATAATTCTCACTTATTGATGCGCTTATCTATGTATCATCCACTTCTCCAGCATCCTTGGTTTGGATTAAAACGAAGCATTTTTTCCCTGTCGATCTCCCTGTCCCTACCTCCAGCGTTTTTTACCGAATAAGTCGACTGATGTTTACTCTTGCATTCATCAAACTGACACAAATGTCAACAACTACGCAGGTGGATTTCTTTTGTACGCTGTTTTGATTTCATCAGCACAGTAGGCCAATGCGTGGGTTGTCCCCGACGTTTGTCTTTGGTAGGACTATACACTTGCGCACTAACACTTTTCTATTTTTCTATTGATACGTACAATCCAGTTATCTCTTCCCACCCTTGGCCTTCCCATAGCTGTCATTACAGTCAGTTCACAAGCCTATGCTTTTGCCGACATTCTCACTGTATTTTTTTCGATCTGGTTTCTGTTTTTTGCCGGTTGGTCTGGTGCTGAGCGATGTTCCGACTCTTCAATTGTACAAAATAACAACGATTATTGTTTTCCCTTCTTCCGAGGCTTTTTCTCTGAAAGAGCCTTGTTTAACGAACGGCGGAGTTTTACTAATTACTGACTTCGGGAAACTGTGGAGTACGGCTGATCGATGCTGAGGTTAACAACGCTAGAACCGAGGACAATTATAAGACAGTAATGGACAAATATAACCGTAATTTAAAGCAACAACCTGTTTCCCTTAGCTAGTCCGTTAGATCAATGGAGCAGTCAACTGAATTTGGTGCATTTCACTGACATGGTACCGATGCTCCTTTACTAGGCACTTGTCGTAAGGAGCCGGTCGTAACACTAGGGGCTGTTGCCATTTGAGCATTATTGTTGCCTTGTGCTCCTAGGCCGGTCATGTTGGTGGTGCACAGAAAAGCCGGATTATGAGGTAACTCGAAAAATCTTATTATTATCGGGCGCTGTCTGTTGTTCTGGTTGTCCTAGCATAAAGATCCCCCCACATGAAGGGTCGGTGTATATTTCTGAGGTTTATTCCAAAAAACCCACATTTTGATTCAGCAACGATCCAAGTCCAAATAAATATTTTAAGTTATTGGGGCTCTTCCTGAAGCAGCTTGTGTTTCCCACAAAGCGTTCATTAGTCTTCAGAGCGAAGTCACTTTCATTTTGAAAGCTATGGTTAATCAGTCCCTCCAAACCGTCCACATTGCATATTCTTCCAGTGCGGCCCATCACCTGTCATGACTTTGCGTGTTCACTTGATTTCTACATGAATTGGTTTATTTCTGCTTGCCGTGACTTGCGTATAGCATACCGTCTGTCATGTTTCAACACCTAATCGTTCCCCCTGTGTTAAAGCCGATGATGTGATGACCACTTTAAGATACTATCAAAATGCCACTTTGATACAAGGCACGACTACCGTTACTAATTATCTTTCATTGGACGCACGGGACGACTACAGCTGCTTGTGTAAGGAGCACGGATGTCTACATAATGTTGTAATACGTATATGGACGATGGCAAATGGGGACTTCACTAGGTTCAGTTCGGTTATAAACCATGTACCAGCGGTATGCTGCTTTCAGCTGCCACAATCTCAGTCGCCGAAAAATGGAAAAGCGTGAGAGATACAACCAAGTCTGAGAAACTGGACACCTACGTATTGAATACAACAGCATTGATGCTTAAGCGTCAGTGACTATGTTGTTGAGCCGTGTGTCAGCGTCATTAACCATTGGTGAGTTGACTCTAGAAGTTCCTATGCGGAGAGGTGGCAGTTGTCCACATGACTGAGTTTACTGGTTGGTGTTTTCATAATCAGTTTCCAGTTCACATTCTACCCACCTGTCAGGTGCTTCATCTCAGTACAGGACTGGGCTAAAGGAGCTTTGCGAGGTAGGTGATTTTCTAGCATGCGACGTGTGTCTTAACCAACGTAACCTATGAAGCATGAGTAACTTAGCCCCCAACAACCATTTGGCATACCACTGCTTCGTTGATAATGATGATGATTTTCCCACCATACCCGACCAATGCTTTGGAGACCCCGACGATCAAACACTGACACCTATATGTCCTCTTTGAGTGAGGGCCACGTTTATGATCCACAAAGCAGTATGAATCGCACCACTGACAGACACACTGATGTCACATTAGCACCATAGGTGTCAAAGGTCAGTCCTGGGCTTCCCGATTCGAGAACTAATTTCGTCTCTGGCCAGTCCACCGGAATTTATGCAGCTGCACAGGGAAACAACCTGGCTGGTCTGCAAGCATGAGGTTTGGGTTTGATCCCACCCAGTCCTGTATCAGCACTTTAGATTTTGCAAGTGTGACGATCTTGCAAAACCGTGGGGCAGAACTATTTAAGCTACTCCAAGTGGGAGATCTGAACCATGGAGAGCAACATCTTCCGCATACTCATTAACTCTGAGCGAGCATCCCGCAAGCATTTCGATCTCCGAGACGCATAAATTTCAAGCAGCTCATTCATAACTAAGGCGAAGGGAACGGTGAGAGGCCGGTCGTGTCTTACACCACTGTACTTGAGCCGAACCGAAAGTTTGCACCCACAGTGCCCTCATAGGTGATTTAAATTTCGAGGGGACACCTTTGATCATCAAACATTGCCAAGGTTTCTGACGATCCACAGGGTCCAAAGCAGCATTCAGATCAACACAAGTCACCAACTCGGAGCTTTGTAATATTGATGCAGTTCAAGGACCTATGCCAATGTATCCTCGACCAGAACGAAACCCAGCTTGGTCCCCACAAGTTTATCTCTGCATAATCGACCAAGCCGCTCTAACGCCAAAAGGTACACTGAATACGGGAGATACCAGGCTGATGCCACGATCGTTTAAACCCAGCTTGGTCCCCACAAGTTTATCCCTGCATAATCGATCAAGCCGCGCAAAATAACGCCACAAGGTACACTGAATCCGGGAGATACCAGACTGATGCCACGATCGTGTTTGCAGACTGGATCGAGGCGTTCTATTCCACTGGTGTTCTGTTTAGGTTCCAATGCTTCCATAGTATCGTCGTCAAACTTTTCAGCAGTGTTTCACCACCTTCGAAGAGTGGAAGGTGCATATCATCCGGGTCGTGTGTGTTGTCGCGTTGGAGGAATGACGTCTCACGCTAGATTTGTTTATTACGGGCTGGTTGGTATCGGTTTCCATTTGTACCCTTCTGGTTCTTCCACTGGTTACGCTGAGGGGAACCACTGTCAACCATAGTAAAAACTGTGATTATATATACCGTCTAAGTTGTATTGTGGCTATCATCAACTGTGCACTAATAATTGGTCAGTCCAACGTGACTCAACGGACGTATCTGACGTGACAGTTGGCCGTTTCCGTTACGTTTATCTGTACTTCATTCACATTGTGGTTACGCGCACACGTTTCGCCATGTCAATTTCTCTAGTACTGGAGAAACTCCAACTTTCATGACATCAACACGCAACACCAATTCCGCATCTGTCCACCTTCCATCATTTTGGCACCACATTATGCATCCGTTCGCCGACCGATCGTTTCATCAGCAATGCGCTTCTTAGTTTTCTTCTTAGCCTACATAACGTTTCAAACCCTTTTGTACATTAGTCTATCAAACTCATTATCCAGCGTTCCGCATGGTCGAATACGTACATGGACAAAAACCTGCCTACCACGTTATTCACGTTCGCCGTACTCACTCGCACATCGGTACCTTTCCCACACAGGATTACCGATCCGACCATGTTCACCTCGACGTTGTTGAATTCCTCTCACATCTGTTTTTTTCTCTTTCGCTCGAGGGGGATTATTTGCAACGGACATTTCATCGTTCCTTCAACCAACTCCACTTAATTTGTCTAGCACATCTGTGATCACGCGACTCCTTTGTTCCGCAGACACTCAAATCACGTGACAAAAGTCTGCCCCGTTTGCAACCTAGACCGTCAACAAGTCAGTTCCCGTCTTGTACGCGTCGGAACGATTCTAGGTATTATACACATGTCAAAACTTCTTATATACAGGAAGACACGACACAGTCATCAAAAGCATAGCTGCGCGCGCAGGGGGAGGGAGTAAATCAAACCCCACAATTCCGCGGAAAATTACGGAAAACGCGTTGCAGCTACAATGCGGGGAAAAAACGTTCCCACCGTCTGGACTTTCACCCATGAACTCTCACAAACGATAAGTTCCCCTTCTGACTTACTCCGCTTTTCGCATTGCATTTATTTTATACATGTTGCATCTCGCTACTTTGAACTACTGTCAACCATAGTAAGAATTGTTATTAGTGTATATACTTTCTGAGTTATATTAGGGTTATCATCACCTGTGCACCAATAAGCCTTTGCAATCCAACAGTGTTCTTTGTCACTATTCAGGTTCTTGATTATGGGGTGTTTGAAGGATCTGCACGCGCCTTCATAGTTACGGGTTGCTAATATGGCTTTTTCGACAGCAACGAGTCTGATTCTCTGGACGCTATCCAGTGTTCACTCAGTTGATGCGGATAGCTTGAATAAACAATTAAGAAAGCTGAGGGTACAGCTTTTTTAGTCCGCTTCCATCCATCCTTCACCCAACCTTCGTGGCACAGGTGACTGCCTTTCCAGTAGCTTTCTAGCCACCGAGAATTATCGAAGTTGATGAATGGAGTTGCTGTTGTTCGGGGCGCGAAGTGACAGCCCAGTCCCTCAAGTTACGTACCACAGAAGGAACGGCAATCATTGAATGATACTCTCCATGAGTAACTGATAATCACATGGCCCAAATGATTTCATGACTGGTTGTGCTTGGTGGCCTCCAAGTTTCTCGATGTGACTCCAAATCTACCACCTGATTTTTCCTTCTTGAGGGATTAATCGTTATTCTTGGAGGTTCATATCACCCACCAGGATTACTATATCCGTTCTTCTTGCTGACCGAAGCTGTCGCGAGAAACCACTCCAAAATCCATCCTTCCCAGGTTCCGAAGTGTATATGTTGATATGACAAATAAACATGCACTGATCTTAACCCCACGTCGTAGAAACCACGAGCCATTGCCTCAGGATCACTGGATACCCGAAGGATGAAACGTGGAACATTTGAGCTCATCCTAGGCGGTTTCAGGTGCGTGACCGAACTGGCGTGTTGTGTGCGTGTTTGAGAGACAAAATACACTGACGGAGGATGAAAGCAAGGATTCTGCGAAAAATGCATGTCGCCCAGTTTGACATAGAGTACGGACGTTGAAGACTGCAACGTGGAGCAAATCATCAGGATTATTAAGTGATTATTTTGGCTTATTTTTCTGGGCAGAATTTTAGTAGGAACAGTTGTTGGCGGTTGGCAGATGCGTTGATCGCGGTGCGTCGTTCGGTGGGTGGCGAGGGGTTGTAGAGGAACATCGTTGCGCGGAGAGTTACGATGCATCTTTGTAACCCAGGTTAAGTTATAGTACTCCACCCTGATCCTTTTACTCAATTGTCTACGCACAAGGTAGTGGATTTTTGTTCAGAAGCCCTGACCTCAGTCTCTGGCTCAGTAGTCTGA